TAGTTTAAAATTGGTAACGTTACGCGACGTTTTGTGCACCAGATCGACATTCCGAATATTTATGTCGACCACTGTACGTATTACATGTACCGGTAATATATACTTAATTAGTAATCTCTGTTGCTCACTAGGGTCGCATTTGGTTTTAATTTTTTTCTCGTAGTTGAATATTGGTATGCAAAACTTTGAAAAAAACAACTAACGCTAATGTACGTTAATCCTGCTAATGACTAGAAAAATAAATATCAATATTTTTATTTTTAAAATTTTTTATATCAATATAGTAAATAAAGTTTCATTTCTCAAATGGCAACCAAAGCAGTTAATTCTCTCTTGTATGGAAATCGCTACAAATCCGGCGAAGTGACAACTAAGAATGAAAATCAAATATTTGGATGGTATTTGAAATTGGCAGAGGGTGGAGATGTTAGAGGACAATGTAATCTTGGTTTTTGCTATCGAAATGGTGTTGGCGTACAAAGAGATTATAAGGAAGCATTCAAATGGTATTCAAAATCAGCAGAGGGTGGAAATTCTAGAGGGCAATGTAATCTTGGTTTTTGTTATGAAAATGGTATTGGCGTAGAAAAAGATGAGAAAAAAGCATTTGAATGGTATTTAAAGTCAGCAAAGGGTGGAAATTCTAGAGGACAACGTAACCTTGGCTTTTGTCATCAAAATGGAGTTGGCACAGAAAAAGATGAAGAAAAAGCATTTGAATGGTATTATAAATCAGCAGAGAGTGGAGACACTGGAGGACAATGTAATCTTGGTTTTTGTTATCGAAATGGTGTTGGCGTACAAAAAGATGATAAGGAAGCATTCAAATGGTATCTAAAATCAGCGGCGGGTGGAGATGTTAGAGGACAATGTAATCTTGGTTTTTGCTATCGAAATGGAGTAGGCATAGAAAAAAACGAGAAAAAAGCATTTGAATGGTATTTGAAATCAGCAGAGAATGGAGATGTGGGAGGACAATGCTATCTTGGTTTTTGCTTTCGAGATGGGGTTGGCACAGAAAAAGATGAGGAAAAAGCATTTGAATGGTATTCGAAATCAGCGGCGGGTGGAGATGCTGAAGGACAATGCAATCTTGGCTTTTGCTATCGAAATGGAATTGGCATAGAAAAAGATGAGGAAAAAGCAATTGAATTATATAAAAAATCAGCGGAGGGTGGATACGCTCAAGCACAATTTATTTTTGCGGTACATAACTTCAATAAAAATGGTGGTAATAAAATTGAGGCTGTCAATTGGTTTAAAAAGTTGGCAGAAAATCATAACGCTCAAGCACAATTTATTCTGAGTAAATTCTACGAATCATCAAGTTCAACTTTTCTTTATAATAATGGGGCGATAAATCTTCGAAGCGAAAAAATCAAATTCTTTCATGGAATAACAAATCAAGCATTTCAGATTATACAATCTTCCCTTCCAGCAATCAAGGATGATTTTACACCTTTACTCGAAATTACTTCTGGCAAAAGTTCATTATTGAAATGTACTACAACTAACTCAGAATTATTCTCGCTATCACAGGGAATAATAATGGATCAAGACTCTCAAAAATTGTTTGATAATCACGAAATATTCAGTAATTTAGAAAAAAGCAATATTTATCTGGAAATTTTAAGCGAACAACTATCGATGATATTTGATTTTCAAAATTTAAAGCCAACAAAAGATTTACATTCAGAAATTCAAGAAGCTTTAAAATCATATATACCAATTGAGAAATTAAAGCTTGTATTTAAAAAATTTGGAAATTATGTTCATACAAAATTAATATTTGGAAATAAATTACAGAGAATTATCTTAAAAGAAGATATTAAACGCCAAGATGGTTCAGCTGAATTTAATGATTTTTCTGAAATAGGTATTTTTATTATTTTTTCATGTCCCTTTATTTGTATAAAAGCTAACTCAATATTTCAAAAAGATTCTCTTTTAGAAAAGTGGAAAGAACTAGTTCAACCATTTGACACTTCTTTTATGATTGCAATGGATGGTTATCCCATAGAACTAAGGTACCTGAATTTTTAGTGTTGGATGTATCTCTATTATTCCATGCTAATGTTAAGTTCTTTTAAAGCCAAATTCCTAAGTGGCTTGACGTTGTATCGAATCAAGAATCTGAGTGGTATATTGTGAAACGCGTCGTTGTGCCATTATACAAAATTCTCGATGTGAATCAACAGCACGAGATCGAAAATCTTTTTAAAATGGAAAATTTTGTTTTAATGTCCAATATAACATTATTATCGGATTATAGTTCTGGGTATCATCGAATTGAATACGACAGTCCATTGAAAAGTGATAATTATCAATTATTTGGTAGTGTTACCTGCGATGGAGAAAGGCTAGAAAATATCTATGTAAAATTTAACATGAAAACCGAATATGGATTTTCAGTGAGTTGGCATGATAAATCAACTTTTGACAGGTGAAGAATAATATTTTGATAAATTTCTGATCTTAATTTCTGAAGATTAAAAACTTTCTTCTTTTCTACAAGAAAACCTCATGCGCTTCGGTGGATATTAATCGGTTGTCCGAGTGAGATCGGGTATTTTGACCCAAAAACTCGTAATATATCAGTTATTTTAGGAGTAAAAGAAATAAAACTTACTGAAACTGTTAAAATTAATGTGGAAAAATCAAATATTGTCACATTCAATATTGAATACGTTTCGATTCCAACTTCCTCATTCTTCAGGACAAATATTGTAGAAAAGCAAAAAGCTGGATCTATTGAAGTAAAAATTGAAGCAATTAAAGAGGAAGAGGACACACAGGAAGAGGAAGAGAACGCAGATGAAGAGGAAGAGGACACAAAGGAAGAGGAAAAGGACACAGAGGAGGGGGAAGTAATGGAGGAGGATGTAGAAAAAGATGCATCGGTGATTGATGAGGATGACTTTATTAGAATTCGATGGTGCATATTAAATCTTAAGAAACATTCAGAAATTAATGATTGGAAACAGTTAGGAGAATGTTTAACTTTCTAGTTATTTAAATTTTATGTTTCTTTTATAAAAATATTTTATATACGGTATATTTTATTTGTAAAAAAGTAAAAAAACACGTGTCTGCGAGCACACGTAAAAAGAACCCCTTTTACACAATATGTCAAGTTTTTCATATATACGTATTTAAGCTCTTATAATCCATTATTAATGTTACTTTTTAATGCAACTTGCAATAAATGCGTGATATTAAATGTTTAAAAAATCGCTATGGTTGATCAAATCCCAATCACTCAATTAACATAAATATTTGTCATTAAATAATTTCTTTAGAACACTAATATTTATAAAAGGGCGCGCTCTTGGCCCCACAAGAACAGGAAAACTGCAAATAAAAATAAAGATATTAACTTGTCAAGAGATCCTTATGCTTGCGAATTACCCTTCTTGTTACTCACCCCAAGTGGCTTTTATCCCTTTATGCTTTACATAAATCGATAGTGGAAGTACTCCACTCTAAATAACCCATATTTATCTTTTTGTAGTCTTGATTGTTGGCATTGGATAAGTCCCAACTGATAACTTGTTTTTTGTTTAATTCTTGCCGTAGATTAGTTTATTGGCCGTGTTAATAAATCCAACTCTTTTAGTAATGTAGATGGTGAGCAGAAACTACCCGTAATCCTTGGAATTCCGTGAATTATTCAATTCTGTTCCAAATATCCTTTTCAATCATCTCCTTTAAACCTCTCTCATCGTTTATATAGTAGTATTCGTAAAAACTTCCAAGGAAACCTTTAGGACGACCAGAGAACCTCTCGATCTATAATCATTCAATCCAAGCTCATTGTGCTGTGTCCTACTTTCTTCAGATCCAACATCTCTAAAAAGTAGCTTAACACTACCAATACGAAAACATGAATTTTTGTGACAGATAATCCTTTTCTATATCCACTTCTGAAATCTGTCTTTAATAAGAACTCGGGGAAATTAGTAAATGCGATGCAAGTTAAAATTTATTTTTAATGAAATCACTTTATTGCAGGCATATTCAATCGTTTTATCCTGAGCTTCACATAATTATCATAAGAGTATAAGTATTGTTATTGAATTTTATCTACAAGAAATAACACTCAATTAATTCAACTCTTTTAAGTTAATCAAGTTTTATATCAAGGATTAGAGCATAATTTGTCACTTTTTCCTCATAATCTTTGTCTGATAGACTAGGATTTAATATTTTTTTTCTTGTATGACTTCAATTGCTTGACTAGAAGTCGAATCCATCGAATTGACTTTTTCGCATCCATTTTTTGATTCTCTTTTGTTAGTTTTTTCTTATTACTTTGCAACAAGATTCAACATCAATAGTCTCCAACAAACTTAACCGCCATCAAAATATAGCACAATCACTTGAAATTTGATTCTTTGGCAGCAGCAGCAGCTTTTTTATTTCGCATTTTGTCTTATTTAAAAAAAGCATGTATAGAAGTAACTCCCTTTTACCGTTGAGACAAGAGTTGATAAATACTTTTCATTAATTCATTGAATTCGGTTCAAAGTTGTCCAATTGTATGAAATATCTAACACATGTAGTAGCTTGAAATTTTGAAAATTATGCATTCTTCAAGTGAAAAACTAAAAGATATAAAAAGGAAATTTGGATACCAGTTTAAGATCTTGGCAAAATTTTAAGATTACTATATTAAAAATTAACGAAGGTATTATTTAAAACAAACTATTTTACATGTGATCAGATATGCAAAAAATGAAATTCAAAGATACATGATTACGCTTTTGTCGTTATAATTCAAGATTGATGTGGTATGAGGATACTTGCATTTGCGAATATAATAAATTTATATCTATTAGATTGATGAGATGAAAGCGAACAAAGTTATACCAATCTTTCTTTTCATTATTACGACGAGTATCTCGATTCTTTGTATAATTATTCGCTATCTAAAAACACTGGGATTAGATAATATTTCTTCGAATTACAATCTGCGGTTTATTTGATATGAAAGGATAATTAAAAAATATCAATTTAAGCAAAAAAGTGGAAAAGAATCAGCAAACTCTATTAAATACTTGGTTTATTAATAAAGTGATTAAAATTAAAGGGAGGAATAAATAATATTATTATTAAGACATCAGTTTTTAAGTCACGTATAAACGCGAAGTTTACATATGCAGTTACATAACTTAACACGCGGGATCTCAGAAGACGTACCAAAGGCTATTAAGAGATGTACAAAACATCAAACCAGATTTGACAACCATTTCATCCATAATAATAAATCACAAGGGAGCAGATAACACGCATTTGGGCCATCCATCTACCTTGCAGTAAGGATATCCCTTTGGTATGTAATATCTCTGATCCATATAGCGCTATATAAATTTGTTCCCTATCTTTTTTCTTGTTAGCTAGTCGTAAAGGTAATATAAAAACTATATAATAAGACAATAAAAGAAATAAAATGGAAATATATTGAAAGTATTGAATCTGATTATTATTTATGAATGGGGATTTAATATTAAGGGTCGATAGATAGGATAATGCTTGTCTGATATAGAGCTTCCATAAATATAAAAATAATAAACCAAAATATCGGAAGTGCTCAAGTCTTGAATTTAATATTTGCCACTACGAGCTAAAATATATATTAAAAAATTAATAATGAGGCTGTTTTCTCGCACGGGGAGCACTAAAAAATAAGAAATTAGTAAATAAGTTAATTAATATATATATATGAGATACTTACATTTAGCATTATACGTACATTTGACATTTTATTTGGCAGCAGGGGAACCAACCACAATTTTTGCCACCGCAGCTTCAATTTTAAATTTATCATCGAATGAGCCAATTCACGGAGACCATTAGTATCGAGAATAATTATTGTTTACTTTGCTTGCTTGAGACTTCATTTCAGACTTTAATAAAAGAATATATAAAGGTCTCAATTGTTAAATTGTCTTATTCAGAAATTTGATAGTTACAAGCAAAGCATAAATAAATAATAAATTACCTTGACTACGGCTTTAACTTTTGGGATTAGTCTATCACCCAATTTTTGTTTTGCTCTAAAATTGGTTCAGTTTTAAGACACTCGAGAAATTGTTCTATTTCCTCATGTCCTCATGCTGAATATTATAAATGCCGTTGCTAATCGTTACGCTTTGCTCTGGAATGGTTGTCGTTGTTGGTGCTGGTGATTTAGCAGAAGCAGATTGAATATAAGACTTGTGATATACTAACATCGAAGTTGGTTTTTTATCACCAAAGAAAAATATTGAATTAAAGAAATTGATGAAAAGAAAGAATATCAAATGTAAAGTTTACCTTCACTTGGAACATACAAACTAACACTTGTAGAACCTAAATGTTTGGTATATTTAAAATCAATCTGAAATGTTATTTTGATTAAAAAAGTGCGTACCTATATCGATGTTAGTTAGGATTGATACTAATTTTGAAGTAAAGATTCGACTGGTGTAAATTGCATTTGAGTGGATTTTTTTGCTTATATTCGTGGGAATGCTTTTTTGTGACTTCTTCGCCATATCAAATTTTTTCAATTTCTGTATCTCTAGTTTAGGTTTTAGGATATTCTAAAGTGCTGTAATACTGAAAAAGCAAAGTATTTGGTTTCCACTTGTTATCATAGAAAGTATTTGTTTTCGATTTGTTAATATAGATAGATCTGACAAACTCTTTAAGTTCCTCGGCACTTGGTCTATTTTCTGGAATAGGATCCCAACATTTTTCGATAATAAATTTGCACCATCCGGGAACATTATTTGTATCATAGGTCGTATTCCTTTATAGATGTCTGTTACTAGATGTATATCATGATTTCGTTCACCGAAGGGTCGCTCTTCCGTTGCAATTTCGTAAATAACCATTCCAAAACTATAAATACTGTATCTGCAGAGGTAGTGTATGGTTTTTCATTTAGCACCTATGGACTCATATAAGCAGTACTCCACAAATTTCTTGCTCAAATTTTTCTTTACCTGCTGGACCGATAAGTCCAAAATCAGCAATTTGAGGAGAATTAAAGAACAATATATGTCCAAGGCGAAAGTCACGATGTAGAAACTTTTCTTTGTAATATTTTGAGATCACTGATTGTTTGATATACGTACAGTACCCGGCGAAAAGAATGGCGGACGGATATTTTAACATCACACAAGTAATTTATTATCGGTTGCGTTTTTTTTTACATAAAAGATAAACACTAACGTTATATTTCTCCTTATCAGGTCAATACTTCGTATGGCCTCCTTCTGCCTTAACCCGGTTCCGCATGCTATCGATGCACCGAACTAACACATCATTTTCGATATAATCCCATTCTTGCTTAATAACGGCGAGAAAAATCTCTTTTGAAATTTTTTTATTTTGCGCCACCATATTCTTAATATTTTTCTCTACCTTCCTCTTTAAAATAGCCCATACATTTTCGATAGGGTTGAGATCAGGGCTATACGAAGGCCAGGGAAGAACACGACCCCGAAGACGTTCTTTTAAGTCATTCTGAACGTCATTAGAAGTGTGTTTGGGGTCATTATCCTGTTGGAAGACTCACCTACGGCCATACAATGCATCTGCATTGTCATACAGGTGGTCGTTAAGAATTTTACGATACAAATGATGATCGGTGAACAAATGTATCCCGATTTTTCCCTTAACACTGTTCGCCGCCCAAATGTGGACTTTGAATGGATGCTTTACCATAGGTACAACAGGTTTTACATCCCGAGGCCACGCGAGAAGGGTATTACAAAACATCTGAATCATTGTTTCGCCGGAAAAAATAACTTTTTTCCAGTTATATCGGGCATGTCACGTATCCAAGACAAGCGATGATCTTTCGCTTGTTGGGTTAAAGAGGGACTCTCCTGGGAAGAACTGAAACAAAACCGAGGTTTGTGAGCTCACGACGAATAGTACGTTCACTAACCTCAAATTCAGAATCATTTTCTTCTAGGTTTAGCCTTGAGCTCCGGTACTGTAGTGATATGATTATGTT